CATCACCAAGGATATCGCTGCGCTCTTTGAGCAACAGGCCAAGGCTACCCCAGACGCTGTGGCCCTTGAAGATGAATCACGAATCTTTACCTATGCGGAACTGGACCAAGAGACGCAGACTCTCGCCGATCAATTGCGTCGGGATTATGGAGTTGGCAGAGATAGCCTCGTTGGTGTGCTCATGAGCCGAAGCGCCGACTACGTGATCGCTTCACTGGCAGCTCTTCGCGCGGGTGGTGCTTTCCTGGTACTTGAGCTCGCATACCCCTCCGGGCTCCTACGCGATGTCATCCAGGATGCAAAGCCCTCGGTGGTTATCACTCAAAGCGCACACGTCAACCACATCAAGGCGGAAGTGCCTATCATTGTCATTGATGAACCCAGTAAAACGACAGTCAATGGACACGCAAATGGCGAGCTTTCCCCATTGCCTGCCAGCGATGATCTCGAACGCCTCATGTTCGTCTCATACTCCTCTGGCACCACTGGCCAACCGAAGGGCATCTGCAATCCCCACAGAGCTGCAGTGCTCTCGTATGACCTCAGATTTGGTCTCAGCGATTTGCAACCGGGAGACCGTGTAGCTTGCAATGTGTTCTTCGTGTGGGAGATGCTTCGCCCCTTGTTGCGGGGAGCGACTGTCTTTGCTGTTCCGGACAGTGCAAGTTACGACCCATCAGCTCTTGTCAACTTGCTCGAGTCTCGGCAAATCACAGACACGCTCATGACACCTACCTTGCTGGCAACTGTCTTGTCTCGTCACCCTGACTTGAGCAAGCGCCTGCCCAAGCTGCGGTCTCTCTGGTTGAACGGCGAGGTGGTCACGACTGACCTCTGCCGCAGGGGCATGAAGGCCCTGCCCGAAACCAGGTTTCTCAATGTCTACAGCGCCTGCGAGACCCACGAGGTCGCAGCCGGTGATATCAGCACATTCATTGACTTTGAAGCCCGTGTCTGCCCGGTTGGCCCGCCGATGAACCCAGAAAACATCTACATTATGGACGAAGACGGTAACAGGGTTGGCAACAACATCAGCGGAGAGCTCTATGTGGGCGGCGACCTCCTGGCGCGGGGTTACCTCAACCTGCCAGAGACAACAGCCAAGGCATTCCACCCGGACCCCTTTATCAACAAGGAGGGTGCACGCATGTACCGCACTGGAGATCTTGCTAGAGTCCTTCCTTCCGGTCTTCTAGAGATCACTGGTCGAGCAGGCGGTATGATCAAGACTCGTGGCTACACCGTCCAGCCAGGTGCTGTCGAAAACGCCATTGTGAAGCACTTGGCCGTGAGTGACTGCGCCGTCTCCTCTCACGGAGAAGGCCTTGAAAGACAACTTGTTGCCTATATTGTTCGCGATAACGATGACAAGCGGGGCCGAGGAGATGTGGTCATTGACGAGTCTGGATACAGCCCTGCAGCCAGACGCGTCCTTGGAGAGCATCTTGCCCTGTACATGCTTCCAACCTACTGGGTCGAGCTTGAGCAACTCCCTACTCACGGCGTCTCCGGCAAGACTGATCTGAAGGCCCTGCCGCCACCACCAAGCCCCAAGCTTGCAGTCAATGGCGAAAAGGAGCAAAACACCAAGGTCAAGCTCGAGACCGTCAAGAAGCTGTGGGCCGCTGCCCTCAATATGCCTGATAGCGCTATCACCGAGGAGCACGATTTTTTCGACATTGGTGGTCACTCCCTCATTCTCGCAGACCTTGCAAACAGATTCGCCAAGGAGTTTGGATTCCCAGTTCCGCTGGCACCTCTTGCGGGCACGCCAACACTGCAAGGACACCTGCAAGCGATATGTGATGCTCGTGATGGTCACACAGCGGCTGTGCAAGCGGACCTCCCAGCTGTCCTACGTGCTGATTCTATTCTGCCCGACGACATTCAGTCCAATGGCACTCTTATGCGGCGTCTGAACGATGCTAATACCGTGCTCTTGACTGGTGCAACTGGATACCTCGGTGCCTTCCTTCTCAAGTATCTTGTGGAGACCACCTCGGCACACATCATCTGCCTCGTCCGCTTCACGGATCCCACCGACGAGATGCGGGCTGCTGGAATGGCTAGAATTCGGAAGAACCTGATCGATCTTGGCATCTGGGAAGACTCCCTACTCGACAGAATGGAGGTTCTGCCCGGAAATTTGTCACGAGAGCACCTTGGTCTCGCCTCAGAGGTTTATGATGACATCGTTTCCCGTGTTGAGGTCATCATTCATGCTGCTGCGACTGTCAACCTGGTTTATCCCTATGCCGCACTGAGAAGCCCCAATGTCGGAGGCACCAGAGAAATCTTACGCCTGGTATCGAAGAGCGGTGCCACCCTTCACCACGTTTCTACAAACGGTGTTTTGACACCATCTGTTGCAGGCCACTCTGAAGACGCCATGGTTGATATTGATGATGTTCCCGATAAGCTTATCGACGGATACGGACAGACCAAGTGGGTGGCTGAGAAGCTGGTCTACGAGGCCGCTCGTCGAGGTATGCCGTGTAAGGTCTACCGCCCTGGTACAATCAGTGGTCACAGTAAAACAGGCTCATGTAACGCATGGGACCTTCTGAACGCCCTGATTGTCGAGTCGTTACACCTCAAGACGGCTCCGTATGTCGACCAATGGTTCGCCGAAATGACGCCAGTCGATTTCGTCAGCGCAGCTATCACAACTCTCGCCAACCACACCGATTCCGAGCAGTTGGTTTACCACCTTGGTGACCCCAACCCAGTCTCTGCAAACTATATCTTTGACAGCCTGAATGAGCTTGGATTCCCGACCAAGCGCGTGCCCTGGGACGATTGGGTGGAGTTGTGGACCAAGAAGAGAGGTTTCGGCACCGCGGGCGACGTCCCTTTCACCGTCGACATCCTTCGCGGTGGTATGCCTACCGCAGAGACTCTCAAGGCTGTGACCGTCCTCAAGGACGAGGCTACGGCTCCCGCTTTGCTAAAGTACAACCTGCCTCGCCCTAAGATCGATACTGATCTACTCGAGACCTATACTCGACACTTCTGCGCGAGAGGCTGGCTTTCTCGACCTCCGCGCCGAGCAAACGCCAATGGAGCTACATCTCGCGTCAACAAGGGTCGTCTGGCTGGCAAGGTCGCCGTCATCACCGGTGCCTCTTCCGGCATCGGTGCAGCTGTTGCCGCTGGGCTTGCTAAGGAGGGCGCTCATGTCGCTCTCGCGGCAAGACGCACTGAAGCCCTGGAAGGTGTCAAGGCCAAGCTTGCCGGCACTGGCGGCAAGGTCCTCATTCACAAGACGGATGTGACGAAGAAGGAAGACGTTGAGTCACTCATGCAGGCGGCAGCCGACAAGCTTGGACCGGTCGACATCCTCGTCAGTTGCGCTGGTGTCATGTACTTCACCATGATGGCGAACAATCAGACTGACGAGTGGGAGCGCACTGTCGATGTCAATTGCAAGGGTCTTTTGCACTGCTTGTCTTCCACGGTCCCTGGCATGCTGGGCCGAGGAAAGGGCCACATTGTAGCCATCTCATCCGACGCTGGCCGCAAGGTCTTCCCCGGCCTAGGCGTTTACTCTGCCAGCAAGTTCTTTGTGGAAGCAACTCTGCAGAGCTTGCGTCTCGAGACGGCCGGTACGGGTCTCCGCGTCACATCTATTCAACCTGGCAACACGGCTACAGAGCTGCTGGGTATCTCTACAGACGCCGAGGCTATCAAGAAATATGGCGAGCCTACTGGTGCTAAGGTCTTGGACGCCGAGGACGTGGCTTCTTCGATTGTGTACGCTTTATGTCAGCCAGAACATGTTGCAGTCAACGAGGTGCTCATTGAGCCTAGAGATGAGCCTATTTAATCACCTCGGATCATCATTTGGCAGATAGATGGGAGGATAGAGTGGATAGGCTTGCTATTGTATGGGATATGATTGTGTTTGCCCGATCTTAATAATACATGAATCGAAGTTCAAACACCTTCCAATGCGCACCTCGTGAATTCATTACTCTTGTTGGCCACACATGGAATTGAAATTGCCCTGTAATAGCTGTCGAGGCACAATTTCCCGAGCTAAGGGACGCAAAGTGGCAGGTTCTCCTCAACTGTTCCATCCATCAGCCTGCCGATCATTGACTTGTCACTTCCTTCCAACCTTTCCATCTGGAAATCGTCAATCTTGCATCAGCTACGGTAAATGTACGTCATTTCCCAAGCCTCCGAAGCACCCCGATAGCCGTACCGACCGGTGCGGCGGTACCGAATGGGAGTGAAATGTTGAAGGCAGTGTGCAAAAGCAGCAACAACGCTATTCCCCGTTAGATCCCCATACATTCATACGGGTACACTTCAAGATGCTTTGGCCATGGGGTGATCGGATCAAAACATGGGATTTGACGATTGGCTCAAATCGAAATGCATTTGCGCTGCCCAGAAACCCCTGCAGCATCTCCCCCATCGGGACCCCGCCGCAATCACTTGGCCCGGGGGCCGGGGCACCTGCTTCCCGCCAGATCCACCGTCCCACAGGTGTCGAGGGGAGGAGGGCAAGTCAGGGATCAAGCCACAATAAGACGGTAAAGTGTGGCTTTTACAATGCTGTGGCTGCTCTCTTCGTTTTCACACCATTTACGCTAGAACGACCCCTAACCCTCGACATGGTGATATGGTGAAAGCGAGCGAGTGACGACCAACGACTGCCTTTTGAGAAGTTTTGTTTTTGTCAAAATACCTCAGAAATTACGAGGATTTCTTTGTGAGTCTGGCGGTCAACTACAACGGAACTCTGCGGCACCAGGGTTGACTCACACACCGTTGAAAGGGTCGCCCATGTGTCAAGATGAGTGATGCGGAAAAAGTCGACGGGGCAGAAGGCATGATTTTCGAAATTCTGAAAAAGTCCTTAGATGGCACAACTGCAGCTCGTCTCGGAAAACTGAGCGTTCCAAAGCGGAAAACTATCGAGACGCCAAACTATTATGCCATTGCCTCGAGGGGTGTACTTCCTCATGTCACCCCGGATAATTTGAAGAAACATGCGCCCTTCAGTGGAGCGTACATGGCGCTCGAGGACTGTAAGTAGTCTAATCGTTCTGTCTAAATCCATTTGTCCCGGCGCGAAGCTAACTATCGAGAAAGTCATTGAGAAGAAGAACCCTTCAGCGCTTTCAATACCCTCGCCAGAAGAGAAGCCACTCCACACCTTTTCTTGCCTGCCCGAAAGCATAGCTACGGTTCTCGCTGCCAGAAGAAACCCAGCGGTTAAGACCCCTGTGGGCAATGGCGCAAAGTTCGTGGCCATCTTCACCTCGACCGGTTTCAGGAACCTCTCCACCGACGAGTACTGTGCGGCTGTCGAGACGCTGAAGCCGGACATCGCCGTCGGCCCCGCTGATCTGTTCCACACGAGCACGATGCCGGCTGCAAAGAAGCTCGTTCGCATGGCACAGCGAACCGAGGATTGGGCCGATGTGTTTCTGACGGCCAAGAGGCGCGATTTCTTCAAGGCGTCTGGGATCTCGGTGTTCGCGCCTGTTCTTGCGGTGCCGTACACTGTGCAGTGGGAATACCTTCGCCATCTGGCGGACGAGGTCGTCGACTCGCTTTCGGGACTGGCTCTCTACGATGTTGATGTCTTGCCTGATATCGAGGACCATCATAAATCCCTGAATTCTTTGCCTCGTCTGTCCTTGCACATTCCCGATACTCCGCAAGCCATTCTCCGACAGATTTCCCTGGGAGTCGACATCTGCACAATACCATTCATCAACGCCATCTCCGACGCAGGCGTAGCACTGTCCTTCACTTTCCCTCCACCCGAGAGCCAAGGCAATGCTATCAAGCCTCTCGGCGACGATATGTGGGCACCCGAAAACGAGGTGGCCATGGAACCCCTCTCCCAAGGCTGCAAGTGCTATGCCTGCACGACACACCATAGGGCCTTCCTCCACCACCTCTTGAACGCCAAGGAGATGCTCGGCTGGACGCTGCTGCAGATTCACAATCACCAGGTGATGGCCGACTTCTTCGCCGGAATCCGGGCGACCCTCGCCAAAGGTGCCGCGGAGTTTGAGGAGCAGTCGCAGCGCTTTGTCGCAGCGTACGAAGCGGAGCTGCCGCAGGGTACGGGGACGAGACCGAGGGCGAGGGGCTACCATTTCAAGGGCGAGGCGAATCCTAGCAGGATTAACCCGCCGGCGTGGGTCGACTACGCCGCGGACGGCGAGGGTGTCGCGGCCAAGGCGAATGGGGCGCCGATAGCAGCGGAGGGTACGGAAACGCCGCTTGTGCCGGATTTGGGCTCGCTGGAGCTTGAGGAAAAAGGGTTCGCTGAAGTTGCTGGCAAGAGGTAGAGGTCCGAGACAACGGATGTTGTTCATCTACGATGGACCTGACGGATGATAAGGACCCATGGTGGTTATTATCTACGATGGCAGCGAAATAGAGAGGTGTTAGGAGTATCGAAACCACTAATCAAAACACCCGAAACAAGATGGATTTCTTCCTCACCGCTCTCCCCTCTGGATATCTCTCGAAAGAACAAAGTGATAGCAGTCACAACAATCGAGATAGGAACACATGCTCATGCTGCTATCATCCAACACCCTAGCTTCAGACTCATCCCACGCACCACCTGATCGGGCTCAAGGGGCTATAATGCCTCGAATCCTGTGCCTATGACCTTTCATCTGCTGGAAGCCTGGCTATCCATTCTCCTAGTGAATCAAGCACAGCGTGAGGAGTGGGACGCAAGCCACTTGAGGCCGTTTCCGTGAGGAATTGCAAAGTCTCCTTTCAGGCCAATGCCGGTGCTTGGTCAACTGTCACTCAATGCAAATCCGCGTCGCCAAATATCGACAGCGTTTTTAACACAAAGCAAAACCCTGAAATTGCGTTAAGCGACTTTGGCTTATGTACATCAACCCCGTTCTTCTGTAACTCATTGCCTCTCAACTGCCTTGGGCTCCCACGAACGAATCTTCGGCTTCACTCTGCGCCAATTGTTAGCATTTTCACCCCAGTTTCAAGTGACGACACTTCCACTCACGTGTTGTATGACTTGTAGGCTCCCGGGGTAGCCGTGAAGTTGGGAAGCACATGTGGCACTTCCCACTTCCGAGTCTTGGTCTGGAGAAGGGCGTCCTCGGTGGGCGGCTTGTCGACCATGTATCCCAACCAAGCGTGCCAGCCAGGCTCAACCTGCGCCGAGTCGTAGTCGTGCACCTTGAAGTCCACCCAGCGCGTACGCACTATTTATTGCTTGTCAGTCCCACGGTCCTTCATTGTCCGTTTGCTGGCGCTGTTCGCTTGGGGGTTCCATACGGGGAAGTTCGTCGTTGTTCTCGAAGTACTTGTTGCCGGCCTTATCTTCGCCTACGAGACGGCCATGCTTGGTGTCACCGATGTACTGTTTCGAGCGTTAGAGGGGCAATTGCGATCGGGGGGTTCGGAAGGCCATATACCAGCAATTGGCGAAAATAATTCTGGAAGCAAAAGTTAGCGGTGGTAGCGACAGCGTTTGAGCCAGAAGGATACATGCCTTGATTCCAACCTTGCGCAGGTTGGCGATTGTTCTTCCAGGGGTCGACATGGTGGCGGCTGGTCAATTGACCTCAAGAAGCTATCGGATGCTGTCGACGATGTGATTGAAGACCTGACGTTTGGGAAGGTTGAGCGACGCTGGTGCCAGAGTGGAGCTCTGGATTACATAAACTCGAAGGCAATTGGTCTTTAGACTCCCTGGCGCTCACGGCAACCCCCGCCGCCAATGACAGAGCTTCATGCACGCACCCTTGTCCCCAGAACTTTGGAACTTCGAAAGCTCTCCGTCTTTGGATGAACTTCTCCGGGAAGAATACCTGCTAGACATCCAGACGTGGCGGTGGAATACCAAACGACGAATACGACATGATTGTCCGTGGCGTTTCACGGTGCTCTACCAAGCTCAAGCTCCCATTTGCCCGAACGAACATTACACGCGCTCAACCGCAATGCCGACAGTTCGCGACGCCTGCCGCCGGTACCTCAACGGCTTCAAGCTCCGGTAGCGCAGCTGGCATGCTTGCGCCGTTCGCGAACGAACTCGACAGGATCGCACCTTCTTTCAGCATCAACGGTTCTCAGATTCAAATTATCAGAACGCCAGCCGATTTCTACGAGACATTAAAGGTGTGCATTGGGAACACGCGCAGCACTGGCCGAGGACTAGGGGACTAATACGGGGTGTACCTTAGGAGCGGATACGGAATGCAAAGAAGAGGATCTTCCTGTCAACCTTATACATCGGAAAGACAGAAAAAGAGTTGGTCAGTTTACGCGGCATGCACATGGGTTGGAACAGGGCGCTGACGGTGGTCATGTCTAGATTGCGACCCTACACGAAGCTCTGCGAAACAACCCCGAGCTAAAGCTCAGCATTCTAACGGACGCCCTGCGAGGTACGCGAGAGGAGCCGAATCCGTCATGCGCATCCCTTCTCGCACCACTCGTATCGGAGTTTGGCCCCGACAGAGTGGAAATCCGCATGTACCACACACCAAACCTGACGGGGTTGAGGAAGAAGTACATACCGAAGCGCATCAATGAGGGCTGGGGCCTACAACACATGAAGCTATATGGTGTCGATGATGAGATTATTCTCTCTGGGTATGAAGCTGCCGCAAGGTGATTCGAGTTGCGACTACGACTAACAACTATGTAGGGCGAACCTCTCATCAGACTACTTCACGAACCGACAAGATCGTTACCACCTCTTTTCCTCCAAAGAGGTTACCGACTACTTCTGGAACATCCACCAGGGCGTATCGTCTTTCAGCTTTCTTGTTGAGCCTTCGCCAGAACCTGCTGGCTTCGCCTTGACCTGGCCCAAGTCCAACCCCGCGCCGTCTCCCCTGAAAGAGCCGAAGCAGTTCATCGGCACAACGACTCCTGCCCTCAATGCTCTGATTTCGCCCACGCAAGCCGCCGCTGCGGATGTGGGCAAAGACACCAAGGTCTACATGCTCTCCCAACTTACACAGCTAATGAGCCCCAACACCTCCACTGAGCTTCCCGCCGTCACTCATGTACTATCAACACTCGGCAAGCCCGAATATGCCGGCTCGTCGTGGACCTTTACCGCAGGTTACTTCAACCCTGCGCCGTCATTGACTAAGCTCCTGCTTTCGACGGCATCACAGAATAATGTTGTCATCACCGCCTCCCAGCAGGCAAATGGTTTCTACCAATCCCCAGGCGTGTCTGGGCTCTTGCCAGGCGCCTACACCCTCCTTGCGCGCCGCTTCGTCCGCGCCGTTCACGACCGCAAGCTCGACGACTCAATCGCTCTCAAGGAGTGGCGCAAGGGAACGATCGGTGAGCCCGGCGGCTGGACATACCATGCCAAGGGCCTTTGGATCACGCTGCCGGGAGACCGAAACCCATCAATCAGTATTGTGGGAAGTTCCAATTATACCAAACGCAGCTATACCCACGATCTTGAGGCTGGTGCCATGATCCTCACAAAGGACGAAGACCTCAAGAAGCGCCTCGGCGAGGAGCAGACGTGGCTCCAAGATCACGCTGAGCGAGTCACCCGTGAGGACTTTTCCAAGAATGAAAGGCGGGTTGGCATCCAGGTGAGGATAGCCATGTGGATCGCCCAGGCCGTGGGCGGTGCCTTGTAAACTCTCGACGGTGTAAGATAGATAGACTTGGAGCTACTCGGACTCTGTCGGCGGAAGCCTGTTGCGAGAGCTCGTTTGTACGAATTGGACAATAAAGATACCCGTGACTTTGGTTGTCAATTATCATTTATTGCGTTAAATAGACGACCCTTTTGTTGAATATTACGACGAAGTCATGCTCCCGGAAAAACATCGTGAGCCATGACAAGGACAGAATCACTGAATAAGGTAGGGAAGAAACACAGTTGCCATAAGTTGATAATGATTAAAAGAACGAATCGCTTGGCTGTACAGATACGTAGGAAAAGCAAAAGTTTCCGAAACCGAGAATCGAACTCGGGGCTATGCCTAACCTCTCATACAGATGAGAGGGCATCATGTTGGCCACTACACCATATCGGATGTTGTTGAAATGCTTGGCTAGTTTGAGGTTCTTGTAGCTAGTCGACGGATTGAGCTCGTCAGAGCCTTCATCCTACAGTGGTGTTCCGGTGCTTCGGCGCCCCAACAGCCAACATTCCAGGGCCCTTCAGCGCTGCAGCACCTGAAGCCACAGCACGCCCCAAATCTCGCGCAGCCGGACGGCAGCGATCGAATCGGAAAAACTGGATTTGCAATTATTCCGCAAACCACAGCGATTGGCCCATCCGAGGCGTGCACACGGCGGGTACGCGGACCTCCCACACACCTTCCAGCCCGTCACCACCGGGGGAAGCTTCATATCGTATCCCGAATTGTAACGGCCCATCCAATCGAACTACTCACCCGATTCTACGCCTCGGCGGACAAAGCGGCCCACCTTCGTCAATCGACTGACCAACATCCTCCCTCCGAGACGAAACGCATACCTAAACCGCGACAATGGTTGGCAGGGTCCTCTTCTGGAGTGGCTTCGGTGCGTGATACCTTCCCCCCTTCATCAGGCGACGACAATCTACGGAGCGAACCTCCCGAATGCCATGGAGACTCAATTGGGTCGGGTTCATGGGAGAAAATGGCTACAAGCCTCTTCTTCGCGCCGCAAACATTGGGAAATTCAAGACGTAGTCTACTAACATTCAACGCTTCACCAAATAGGCTTCGCCGTCCGCTTCTGGCAAATGGGCATTGAGATGCGCCCCTTCTTCAACAAGGAGTCCCTCTGGGTCTACCCCGTCTACATGCTCGGCGGCGGCAGCTTCGGCTACTGGCTCCAGGGCGTCGACGAGAGGCAGTCGTCCATCCTCAGCGAGCGCAAGTCCATCCTGCTCGAGAAGCGCGCGAGGGCGGCGGCGCGCAAGGAGGAGGCGGAGCAGTCATAAAAGACTACGAAATCGGAACAGTGGACGAAATCATCGACAAAAGAGAGAGAGATACGGGGAGAGACAGAGAAAGAGAGACCAGACCCAAAGGCTTTCGAGATGGAAACAAGCTTTGTGACGCCCGTCTGAGTGAGGAAGAGGAAGAAGGGGGCTGGTCAATTCGGGTGTGGTCGATTCGGGACCTCGAAGAATCATTCTCGTTCTAGAGGAAGGATTGAGATTGCGCGGGGACTGATTAGGACGCCAATTGGGGAACCCCTTTAGAGTCCTTTTGTATATGTTACGTAGAAAGAGGGAGAGGCTTAATTGACGCCGTAAAAGTCATTCATATCTTCAGTGTCATCCCTGGGCATCCCCATCATCAAGTTGGGCCAAGGACGTGCCTTAGAACTGCTTCTCATGCTCAATTGATCTATGGAGCAACCTCAATCGAGCTTTCATAACTGGTATCTATCTAAAGGGGCCACCGCAGCAGGACCCCTCGATCCCCCTCAAGACTTTCCACACGGCTGCCGCGATCACCGCCTTCTCCGTCTCTGCACCCTTGCTCTACAACTCCTCCAGCTTCCGCAGAATGGCAGGCACAGACACAGGCGACGTGATGCCCAGCTCCGTAACGACCACTGAGATGTGGCGGTCACGGGTGGTGTCAAAAAGCAGTCTGAAAGCCTCCTCGGTGTTCTGCTCGGGGTCGATCTCGTTATACGTAAGCGAGTCCATGGCGACCCTCTCGGTAAAGTTGATGGTCTCGCTGAGAGCCATGACCCGAATGCCCTGATCAGCCGCCGCAATGGCAATATCGCTGGTGCCAGCCCTGGCGTACATGGCGCCGTTGCTGAACATGGCCTCCGCGCCGACCAGCACACGCGACGTATCGCGGAGGTGGTCCCGCATGGCGCTCAGGTCGGGGCTGTAGGCCACCTCGACGCCCTGCAGGGCGCGCAGCCGCTTCGCGAGGTCGCGGCCGGTGCTCTCAAAGGGGTCGTCGACAACGGTGACGGAGAACCTCTTGCCGTCGGCGTGGGCCTGGCGGAGGGCGCGCTCGACGAGCGGGTGGTGGGCGTACGTCAGGACAACTTCGCCGTCGGCGATGTTGTCGGCGGCGGTCTTGACGATGACAAAGTCGGCGAGGGTGATGCGCTCGCGGATGAAGTTGTCGACGGACTCGCGGAGGAGCTTCTTGGCCTCAAAGTCGGGCAGGTCAATGTCGATCTTGCTGACCTGGAGCTTGAGCCAGCGGACGGCATTGCCCATGGAGAAGCACATGGGTCTGCATGCCGAGAGGTACTCGATCTGAGGGTTCAGGATGTGTGATGTGAAGTGGCGTGAGAATGTGTTGCCCGGGGGCGTTGTGTAAGAATCAATCACCTAGCTCAATGTTAGGGGACTCGCACTTTATTTTGGTTTCGGACAATGCGCAGTAGCTGGCTTACCTTCTTGAATGCCAACAGAGTCGCCTCTAGTCTTGTGGTACTATCGGTGATTGCAAATGCGCTCATCTGCTGGCCCAGAGCCAGAACTGCCGGATGGACGTCCTTATCGACCTCCGTCATGTGTATCCTCTTGGCCATAGACAGGTGACTGAAGCACTCGGGGACCTTGGGCCTGGTGTCCTTGGGAATCGCGACCGGCACGGCCTTGACCGCAGGGCCGCCTCTCGCTCCACCGGCGCCCTGAGGACCATCTTGTCGGGGCTTCGACTTTCCTCCTTTTGCGTCTCCTCCTCCGGTCTGCTGAGCTCCTCCAGGTGGTGGTGCTGGTTGCGCCTCCTTGGCCTTTGCTCTTCTCGCCGCCTTCTCGGCCTTTGCCTTTGCCTTCAGCTCGGCACCTGACAGCTTCTTCTCGCCTCCCTCTGCTGCTGGGACAGCTGGTGCATCCTTCTTTTGCGCTCCGCCATCTTTCTTGGCAGGTTGCTGAGCCTTTTTGTCTTCGACAGCCTTGGGCGGCTCAGTGTTTGGTGTCTCTGTCGCCATTGCTTCGTCCCTCTTCCCCTGTTTTGCGTCGCGAAATTTCTCTGGTGGGCTTGGTTCAGTTTCGACCGACAGTCGTGTAGAATTGGATCGTTTGTGTTGGATTTAGGAGCGTTTGTCAAGACTCCTTCGGGTTGGCAGTCGGAGTTTCCTTTAATCGGGTCAAAAAGGCTGAGAAGTTTTGGAGGGTTGAGTCACAGGGGTTTGCAAGGCGGGATGCGACGGGTGCCCCGCGCTAAAAGCTCGCTAAAGCTTACCTGCATGGTGCGGGGAGTGACGTTCTTAGTTTGTGGTGCCAATCACTGCTCAACGGTGCACTTGATTGCTGCGGCCATCTCAATGAACAAAGCTTGTCCATCTCTTTCTTCAGATATGTATTAATCCATGAGAAACATATACAAGGACTTCTCAATCACTACCCTGAGGTACAATAACACATAAAAATGCCGGCCCAAAGGAGGCTGTCTGTACTATATGGTCGCACTGCGAAAGATTTACAATCACTAGCTGTCTTTCTATTCCGTTGTGGAGGAGTGCTAAACAAATATCGCAAGGCTCTATCAATCGATAGTCCTTCTAGACAAATGCTGCTTATAACTTGATTCGAGAGATACGTTCGCAGGAGTTCTGTAACAATGTGGTGCGTTGCGAGCTCCTCTATTCAGTTTGTTACTCTGTCATATAGAGTTGTGACTTAATTCAGTCTCACCGTCTTGAGGACAAGTAATTTGCTGAATGGGAATGAGAAACGAACTTCATGGCCGCTCTATTCAGATGCTGCAACCCTTTCTACTATTTTTCTATCGTACAAGCCTTCCATGGGAGTTCTAATGTACAAGTCAACATCGACTCTGTCCAAATCGTAGGTGCCATTTTATGGAGTCCTCGAGCGCAGCTCAACGACCCCGATTCTTAGGCAGCCCGTCACTACATCAGGTTGATGCTTCCGACGCAGCGTCTGCAGCCGAGGCTTCTTCTGCAGGGGTGGCCTTCGACGCGGGCTTCGCTGTCGATTCCAAGTGCAGCCTCATAACCTTACGCGGTTGCCCCTCGGCTTCCTTGTACTCTCTGGCGCCCGCAACCTCCGCCACAGCATCCCGGACCTGCTGCACAAGCGCGCCGGCCTCTTCCAGTGTAGCGATTCGGCTGTTCTTCTTCTTCGCAAAGATGACCTCAACCTTGTACCCCTTTTCCAGGAACGTCTTCATCTGCTTCATCTTGTGGCCCATGTCGTGCGGCGCGATAGCCCAGTTGAGCTCGAGCTCCTTGACCCTCGCCAGCCTGCGCGCGTTATCCTTCTTGGCCTTTTGTAGCGCCCTCTCCTTCTCCTTCTCGGCGACCTTGTCGACGATGCGGCAGATTGCAAACGGCGGCTGGCCCGGCGCAGGGCGTGGGGGCGGCCTGGAGACCATTCGGAGGGATTGCGTCTCGGGGTCGAGCGATCTTAGGAACGTTCGAGTGTTATGCGGGCCGGTAAGCTTGTTGTTCTCATCGACAACCATGACTTCACGATCGGAGATCGCCCTGTCCTGGGGAAGCTGGCCTGGCTTGGCAGCAGCGTTGCCGCCGGGTACTTGTCCTGATGGCGATGGCTTCTTCTTCTTGAATCGGGGAATCAGGGCGGCGTGGCGTGCGAAACCTTGTAGCGGCGGTGACAGAATTGTTGGCAGGGTTCTAGAGACTGGACTCAGGAGAGCGCTTCGTCGCGAAATTGATTCGACCTTTTCAAAGGGCGAGACGAAGACCCTATGCAGGGCCATCCTGCTGTTGTATAGGCATTGTGTGATCCTCATGTTTGCTCGGGGATCCCGCTCTGTGTAAGAAGTCCGTCTTAGGGTTTCAGGAGTGTCGGTTCGGACACGAATCTGCCAGCCTCACTGTTGTCGTACGGTTCCGTTTGGGGCTGAACCTGTGATTGCAATATACAGAATTGAGGAACAGAAAGAGGCGAAAGACACATGGGGGTCTTTGGTAAGGTAGCTCTCCCGCCAATCACGCACCGCAATCCTATGCGACGAGCTTTCGATGGTCCAAGCTCCTGCGGAACGCCGGCTCCGCGTGTCTTGTCACTTTCACGTCCCGTCTTCACGCCCTGAATCACAAGGTAAAGATCAAACATCCAGGCAATTGATACACAACAAGTCCACAGGCGCAGCAGGCCAGCAAAATGGCAGGAAAGCCTCTCCGTCTGGCCATGAATGTCGGCAAAACCCTGGCTCTAAGTCATGTCATTATGGAATATGGTTTCTTCATGGGCCCAGCGTCGGGGCCGTCCATGCTTCCAACATTTCAAGTGGCAGGCGAATCAATCCTAGTCGATCACCGCTATCGTTACGGTCGCAACGTCCTTGTTGGCGATTTAGTTCATTTCAAGATTCCGATTTTTCCAGAGTCCGATGGCATCAAACGCGTCATAGGCATGCCTGGCGATTACGTTATGCTGGGCAGCCCTGATGCAGAGAAGCAGAAGATGATTCAGGTAAGGACATCTAGATCATTGCCGCAGCGAGAACCCTTGCTAAGAATATATGTGCAGGTTCCTCAGGGTCATTGTTGGGTTGTGGGTGATAATCTCGAAGCATCGAGAGATTCGCGGTTGTATGGCCCAGTGCCTTTGGCTCTGATCAGGGGCAAAGCAGTCAATAAGCCATGGTGGCTCTCGCTTCTCTCCCCTGGAGGAACAGCTGAGAACGGGCTTCGCGAAGTTTAGTAGGGCCAAGAGTAAGTGGTGCTTAAGGTTCAAGAGCAAATGTGCCATGCCACAACACACGCATGCTATAAATACGATACAAGAAAGACTCGAAAGTTGGCGATGGTGGACACCGTAAGCTGAATTCGTCACAGATTGTGAGTTGTTCTTCCGATCCTCTAAAGTATGATCCTAATTACAACGGGTAGGGAGCCAATGGCACCAGATAAAGGCTCATCAAGCCTGTTAAGAGGCCGAATAATATGAGACACGGATGACCCGACAAAACGAGCCATGATGCTTGATACAAAGTAAAAGGTTCGGGTCTTCCTGATAGGAGAAACTAGCCCGCCCCTCTGGGGATTGTTCTCGCCAGTGAGCGTAGGCACGCCAAAAAACACGCTCCTTCAAAATGCTTCTACGCCGAAATATAAACTCAACGTAACAACCGAATCTCATTCTGCATGACCAACGCCGAAACACCGCCGACCAGAATCCCTAAACCCCTCGGTCCTGCTGTAGTACCCCGTTAGGGAAGTTGGAGAATAAAATGATGTTGCAAAATGCCCTGCCGAGGTCGTTGTTTAACCTTCAATGTGAGACTTCGAGCCGCTCTGGCCAAGGAGCTCGAGACACCGCTGTGCCAAGTTAACAACTTCGCCTTCATCATCGTCTTCGAACTCGTTATCCGGCTCGATCTGGCGGTTGGCGATTTCCTTGATCTGATCGACAATGTCTTGTGCTTGGCCAATCAACTGGATGAGGTTTTTGTCCTCGGATTCGAGCAACTGAAGCAAAGTCCAGATTGCTATGTGCTGGAATGTAGCATCGCCGCTCTGAAGGAATCTCGTCAAGTATCCGTGGATACCGCCATTGGGTTCTTTCCAGTCCTGGACGAAAACCGCGTAGTCTCCCACTATTGAAGTATTAGATCAAAGTATCAACTTGGTACAATGGAGCTGAACAAACCTTTCGAAGAGAGATTGCCAAGAGCTGCAGCGCTGTTGCCCTGGACCTCGATGCTAGGCGAATGAGTAAGAGGAATAAGAACTTCGAAGACGCCGAGGTTGAGAAGATGAGACTTGAGCTCATCGCTAAGAGCCAAAACAGCAATCGCAGCGGTCATCTCGGACTGAACGGTAACCGGCACGTCGAGGACGAGCTGCTTGCACTTTTGAACTGCGCCGGCGTCAAGGACGAGGGCCTTGTTACGATCAGAGCTGGCAGCAAGGTTCCTAAGGGTTGAGATGGCGTGGCACTGGATCTCTTCGTTCTCGGTAGAGCCCAATAAGTCTACAAGGGGCTTCAGGAAGCCAGCCTCAATGATGGGCGACTCATTGAGGGGGTGAATCGAGATGTTTCGTATGCAAGCGACGGCGGAAAGAATTAAAGGAAGGTAGGATGAAGACAGAAGTCGAAGCAAAGGCGCGAGACCGTTTGATCGCACAATGTCGAGTTGGTACTTCTCGTCAGAAGCAAGGTTGCGAAGGGCGAGCGCTGCCTGGCACTGAACTTTGGGCGATGAAGAATCCATAAGCGTGACCAGCGAAGAGACGAGCTTTGACTCCGTCTGGGCAAGTTTGCGTCGGTTGTTAGCATCGACTGCAATGTTGCTGAGAGCCGTCGTGCAGTAGTACTGGACGTCGACGTCAGACGAGGAGAGAAGCTGGACGAGAACCGGAATCGCGCCGGCGTTAACGAGTTGCTGGCGGTTCTCGTCTATAGCCCTGGTTAGTTCATGGTTCAAATGTACGAGATAAAGACGCCTTGCCTGAATGTGTCATATTGAGCAAAGCTCCAGTCGCGTTCCTCTGAACCCGCATGTCCCGAGACTTTGCCAGCCTCGTCAGAGGGCCCAAGGCGCCAGAGCGCGCAATCTTTGCCTTGTTCTCCTCATGTGTGGCCAAATTCGTGATACACCCAACTGCGTTGCACTGTACTTCAACATTTGGCGACAGCATTTGCCTAATGAGTGGCGTAAGTCCACCGAGCTGGACAATCAGAACCTTGTTTTCGGCTGATAAATCGAGTCAGTCTCTACCCTGCAGCCTTGCTTGTTACGCTTCACTCACTGTTGACCGCCAGATTTCCTAGTGCCGCGCTGGCGGCGCGCTGAACCTCAATGTCGGGGCTTTGCAAAAGAAAGAGGATCGGTTCGAGAGTGTCACGATCGACCTCGCGAACATCTGGAGCAGCTTGTCAGCATATCTACGCCAAATGCTACGTCGCAAATGGCATCCTCGACGTGATCCTGCAATCCACTACAACGCTAGAGGACGTACCTCGCTCTGTGATTTCGGCAAAAGTCAGACTTGCGCTCCGTTGCAAGTCGATGTTTTCGGAGAAGACGAGGGTGCTGAGAGCTCGAAGGGGTTCGCCTGAGAAGAAGTCGGTTTCACCCCGCTGAAATAACGTCAGTATGGAAGGTCGACGAAAAAGTCCATGGCGAAAAATAAAACATACGTTCTCGAGATACTGAAGAAGGTCGGCAACAGCTTCTCTTTCGCTATCGGCGAGAACTGGTTCGTAGAGACCATCGCGGGCTCTCCCTACATGATCACCATTAGCTTTGGTGATGTAGTTGACATGACGATGGAAAGCTACTACCTCCGCAACATGACTGGCAGGCTCCCATGGCCGAGGTGGGCTACAAAGGCCGATGTTGATGATATCGAGACTCGATGTCGAGGTGGTGGTCGAGAAAGTTGGGGCTTGTTTGTTTGGATGGGGCTTCTCTTCGCAACACGAACGGTTTGGCCGCCCGACGACCAGAGGGATGCGGAGTCTGCGGCGACTCTGACGACTGGATAGCAGTGTCGATTTGACGATGAAGCCAGTCTGAGAAGCAAATCTGGATGCAAATCGATGGCCAGCGAATTGCGACGCTCGGTTCTAGCGGGTGGGAGAGGCCCGAATATTAGTCGGTTGATGGGCGATAGAGTCGGTCAAGTGAGGTTTTGGGAAGAAAGCGATGGCTGCTCCAGTTGTCTCTCGCGGAGCAATGACCCAGGATCAGGTTGCAGTAGCCCGCAGCAGCAATCGGAGAAGCAGCGCTGGGCCTTTCTGAGGTTGGTGGGGACGGGAACGAGCAGAGGTACCAAAGTGCTAGTAGCAGTCACCAAGCAACCAGCAAATGGAAAGCAAAGCTGCCCTGCTCGGAAAGCGTCAGACAGCATGGACAGCACAAAACAGCGATGCACTCTGCATACCTGACCTCCGAGGTGGGCTTCGTACCGCGCCAGCAATGCCAGCAGCTCCAGCACCAGCTCCAGCACAACGAAGCAGACGCCCGTGGAGCCCAGTGGGACTGATGACCTTGGACCTGCAATCTAACTCGTTTCGGCCTAGAGGCTCTCAAAGGGACCCAGTGCAAGAGGTACGTATCGAGTGTACCTGCAGCGTCGTCCGGCTTTTACTCGTGCTGTGAGTGGACGGTTGTTTGTTTCTGCGACGAGACGTGGAAAAAGAGAAGGTCCCCACCCGCCGCCTCACTCTTCCAACTTCGCACCGCCGCTGCAGCCAGCAAGGCTTTGGAGGGCCATTTCCCACCATTTCCCACCTTGTTCCTCCACCTGCAGTCCTCTCCTCCTCCATGTCTCCTCCCTCAGGCGGACCTGTCGCGGGAAGGCTCCAAGTCTCAATTCAAAGCCTCGAGCTTGGTCGGGAGTAACGAGCACGGACCATCTTGCTCCTCTTCCACCACTTTTTATGCCTTCACATGTGGGAACTAAATTCAGCAAGCGCCTTCCATGAAGGGAGGAGCTTGTCACCTTGTGTTGTGCACCCGCCTCATCTTGCATCGAGATTTCTTTCCTCTTATCCAGATGAGCGCCTGCGGTGTGCGGCGGTCGGTCCGGGGTGACAGCATTCCCGGACCTACGCTAGCGACGTTGTGGCTTGAATTTGACGTGACTCTACTCCGTACGGATATTCTCTCTGCACCCATCGTACCTCTGGTTACCTTAGGCTGAGTGTTTGACAGGCTTCCATGGGTTTCTCTTTTTGGAGGGCTGTGATGAAGCCCATCTCCAACTTTCACATGGCTGACTGACTATCTACCCACCAAGCCAACCACAATGTGCACCTGAGCGATCGTGACATTGCTCTTATCTGGGAATGCACGCATCCCTGGGGTCGCACTGAAATGTGACACAGGTAAGGTAGCTTACGTTACTTCACGATGCACCACCTCATGACTGCCCGTTCCGTGATTTGGCCTCTGGCGTCTGCTTAGGTAGCCTGAATCAAAGCTTCAAATGAGCTCGACCCATATACCTAGGTCCCGATGTGCAACAGGCACTCATCTTCGATAGGTAACTCGCTTGCTGTCACATTCCCTCCGACACACCTGACTGACTGACTGGCTGGTACTTGGCGATAGGAGCCAAGTTGCCAAGGTCTTTGGAGTCAGAAATCCAGGGTCCAGTCACACATGACTACTTTGGCCGCTCTGATGCTGTGCCTTGTACTTATACATACCAAGTATCCGTACAGCCGGGTGGAGAGCTTCTGACCGGCGCCTTCCAATACGTGATGCTTTGGCGATGCAAAACGAAAGAAAAAAAAAGTGTGGAAAAACACAAAAGTATCTGTCCTATTTTCTTCCGTCTTGAGAAGTAAGTATCGTGGGCGGTGTCAGTCGCGTAGATGGAATGAAGGAAAATTTGCAGAAAATGTCTCGGAGGTGCATACCTCGTCACGCCCCCTCGAAGATTGTGGACGTGTCTCTGAAGCTTGAGCCGAAGCAAGACAGTCTATCTCGAGTAAGGGACGGAATCGGACAATTATGGGCGAGGGGATCATCGCTCAGATATCCCGTTGAGAGAAGGGCGCCTGTAGTGTTGAAACATGCTTCACTATACCTTATCTCAATACCTACTTGCACATGGGCTTGTTCGTCGAGAAGGGTTCATAGAGGCTTCATGGAGATGTAGCACCATCCATTACCAACGGCGAAATGCATCATCGCATAACAATCTGCCTCCATCACCATACGGAGCTGATGCCGCTGTACACAATGAGCGCAGCGCTAAAAAGAAGCCATAAGCATCTTGTTGAACTGATTGACGACTACACCCGCTACGCTAATACACGCCAGATTTCGACTGGATTAAAAGTCAGAACACCAAGAATCAGACGTTGGACGCCCCCAGCGACCTTATTCATCGAGTGGGTTTGCCCAAGTTCACTGTTCAACCCATCAGCTTCGAACTTTCCCTGTCTTATCCTTATCTGCCTTATCTTAACAAGAGGAACCTAACGGATACCCGACGCAGTCCAGTTAGAAACAGAGATACGGCTGCAGTGGGCAAGGTAGTCAGGAACGGTATGTACCTTTCATCTGAGGTAAGACAAGAGGGACGGGACAGCTGAGATAAATGTTATTTGCTACCTACCCAGGTACTACTGCCGGTGCCACCAGTGCCACTACCTCAGACCTACGACCTTGCCTCTACTTCGTTGCTTCCTGATGCAGGTTGGGAGGGGAATAGAACGGCGCAAGGGGAAAAAAATCACCAAGGCGTTCAGTCCAGCCCAATCCATTCTCCAAACCACGAATTCCATCCCTCCGTTTTTCCTTTCCCACCCATTGTCTCTGCCTCCCGTTTTCCCGTCTCCCGCCGTTCCTCCCACACGTCCAGAGGGGCCACGCGCGCCATTAGCCCTCCCACGACGACGCAATGGACGACCCCTCCTCCTCCTCCTCGGCTTCGAAGGACAATGCCGGTCCTGGTTCCATGCCCACGTCGCATCCAAGTCAACAACAGCCTAGCGGTAATGGTCCACTACAACCGCCTGTAGTCGCTACTGCTGCGTCCATCGCGAGACCACATGGTCACGAGCTTCCCTTCGTCACGCCCTCCTCATACCTTCGCCCAAGACCACCCTCGGTTGCTCGCAAAATGCCAGAGAAGCCGCCCAGTCCGCTCGACAAGGACCAGATTCAAGGCCTGGTAAGCTACTTGTGCCCTTGGACCCCTCCCTCGACAATCTCGCGCACCGCCGATTTATGTGCTTGAGCCCGCGTGCGCCCCCAGATGCGAGCGCATGCGGGGTTGTGCTTCTCCCTCGAGACGGTCGCGAATGGGCAAGTTCGAACCGCAACAAACCGTCGCTGACTTTGCTTGTCTTTGTAGAGGGCGATTCGCGATTTCCTCAAGGTCCGAACCAGCTACGATGTCCTACCGCTCTCATTCCGCCTTATTGTCCTCGACAATGACCTCTTGATCAAGAAGAGTCTCAATATCCTCATTCAAAATGGTACGAGTCATGCTACTCTGTCATAATGGTCTGTTTGTTCTGACCATCGTCCCAGCCATCGTGTCCGCGCCGCTATGGGATTCGCACAATTCCAGATTTGCCGGCCTTTTGACGGCGACAGATTTCATCAATGTGATTCAATACTATTGCCAGTTCCCTGACGAGATGCATAAGCTGGAACAGTTCCGACTGAGCAGCTTGCGAGGTTAGTGACGCTCCCATCGCCGCCCAGGCTTTCGGTCGCATACTAAGACGCTTGCCAGATATTGAAAAGGCCATCGGGGCCTCTCCTCTCGAGACCGTATCCGTCAACCCCATGAGACCACTCTACGAGGCCTGCCGCCGCATGCTCAAGACTCGTGCGCGCCGAATTCCCCTCGTTGACGTTGACGACGAGACCGGGCGCGAGATGGTTGTCAGCGTCATTACACAGTACAGAATTCTTAAATTCATCGCCGTCAATAACGAACACAACACCGTTCTACTCAAAAAGTCTCTTAGGGAGATCGGATTGGGCACATACAAAAGCCTTGCTACAGCGCAGATGCACGATTCAGTCCTCAGTGTGGTCGATCTGATGGTCAAGCAAAACATATCCTGCGTCCCGATTGTCGACAAGTACAACCGCCTACTAAACGTCTTCGAAGCCGTCGACATCATTCCGTGCATTAAGGGGGGCGTTTACGAAGAATTGCAATCAAGCATTGGAGAGGCACTTGTCAAGCGTCCTGACGATTCGCCTGGCATTTACACTTGCAGTCCCGAGGACAGATTAGACTCGATCTTTGACACAGTCCGGAAGTCAAGAGTTCACCGTCTCATAGTAGTGGACGACGATAACAGACTTGCGGGTGTCATCTCCTTGTCCGATATTCTCAAGTATGTGCTTCTGCACGGCGAGGAGGACGACGTCGTGGGGCATTGAAAGTGGAATGAAAACGGAATTGCATAGAACCAAGAGCGACGGATCCTCGCTGGAATGACTTGGGAACCGGTAGACATGGTAATGAGCATGTGCTAGGCGTACAGAGGCGTAACTGGGAGGAATACCAGACGGTGCCCGAATTTCTTCATTTTACTTTCATTATAGACGATCGGGAGGCTCACGGAGAAGTTGGCTACCTGAATGCATTACGAAATGAGAACATGTCCCAAGTCATTGCTATCCATTGCGAGGTCCCGCCGTGCCTCTCGTCATGTTTTAAGACCCAGAGCAGTTGCCTTGCGAATAGCTTTCTCAGAATACACCTGGCGAGACTTGTCCAGCACCGGGGGAAGCCCTGCAGGAGCAATGCTCGTACTATGAAGTACCTATGGCAAGTGTTATTCACTCACACCTCAGTCTGAACATCGGATCAGATATCCCGCCGCCAACTTGCTCAGCCATACTGGGTAGGTACGATATCCCTCTCATGAGCACTGAATAGGTAGGTAGGCAGATTGAGCCAAGCACCATTAACGTCCTGACCCTCCCCGTCGTCCCAATGTCGACGATCTTCGACATCTGACATTGGATATTCTCCGTCTCGGTCCCATACAGTACCAGCGCGCCCCAGCGTGAGATTTCGTCCACTTTTGGTCAAAGAATCAATTCCCTTTTTTGCTATGCAGTCTTACGACAATGATCAATCACTATCATCGGGCCTGTCTCGGGACCTCGAGACTGGCACCATCGAAAGCCAGACCGTTAGCACTGCGCCAACCAGTACTGCACCTCCTCAACTACCCATCGCGACCTCCATGCTGCCATCAAGGGTCGACACTCAACCGCTGGCCACTTCAGGTACTCTTCCTGCTTTAGTCACTGGAGATGGTCGACGGAGCAGGGCTCTCCCGAGTAGCGCGACATGGACTTCTTCTGTTGGGGATTTGGCCCTGTTGTCGGACACCGACGAGATTCAGGACCGTCGAATATTTGTGCAAGACTACAATCGATTGGCCAAGAAAGTATAGCAGCATTTTACCCTCATGAAGCTTTCGAGATTTAACTAAAGTATGGCGACAGCATGGAATTCGAGTACTGGCGGTGGATGGCTTCGAGGGAGGAGTAAGCTCCACCATTGTCATGGCATGGAACGTTACTAACAAGTCTAGCGGCATACACTGCCAGCCGTTATGACTGAGAAACGGAGGTGGTGGTCTCGAGTACTCCGTTCAACATCATCAGGCCAACCGCCTACCTCACGGGGACCGCCTCACGGAGTTCGTCACAAGCGAAGCGTCAGCGACATTGCCCTACACTTGGTTCACTCTCGTAAACCTGAATCCAAAGTACTCGATCTACAGGCTATGGTTCGACTGAGCGGGAAGAGCCTCTTTCATCTCCCTGCGGACTATGCTGTTGGCTCACTTGTTGTGCCGACTTACTTCAGGGCAACTGCCCAATACTTGGCCCAGTATGGTATGCAAATAACATCACTGCACATGTGAAAACCTCCTTCTAATATCTTCCTCTGCAGGACCAGTTACACGCGGTGTATTCCGCATTCCCGGCTCGCTACGCATTGTGAATGCAATATTCGACTACTACTGCTACGAAAAGCCTGGAGAGGAAGTCACAAGTACCATACGTTGCCCTACTCTGCCATCACATATCAATGCCGGTGCACAAGACGTAGCTTCAGCTTTCAAGAAACTGTTGTCTGTACTCCCGGGTGGCATCCTTGGCTCTCTCGCCGTTTTTGACGCATTTGTCGCGATTCACAGTCAGCTTCGTGGAGAGCCAGAACTCAGCAGAACAAAAGAATCAAAGCTTCGTGCTAGACTCATTGCCATGGCTATTGGAACCATCAAGTCTCACTTCCGCCGAGAGCTTATTTGCGCTGTGTTTGGCCTCCTTTCCTTCATTGGACGTGCTGCTGAGACAGCAGCACGTGAGGATGAGCAGGGCCGGCCACTTCCAACGTCAGATTTGATGGGATACGCAGCTTTGGGAATCGTCTTCGGTCCCCTCCTAGTCGGCAATTTGCTCGAATCCTATACAATGAAACTCGCAAACCCTTCCTCAGGCTTGCTGCTTTTCCCCCTTACCCCGCCGCGTTTGAAAAAGGAACGACAGTTACAGAACACTCTCCAAGACAATACAGACTCGATTTCTGTTGACAAGATTCGTGTGGCAAACGACATCACCGAGATGCTCATCTCCAATTGGAGAGAAGTAGTGCGCAACATGAAAGGCTTGTCGAGTTTCCGGGGGCCAAATGAAGATCTGGAGAGCCCGAGTCGCCGGAGATTTCTTCGTTCATCAAATTCTGACTCTCTTGCCGTTGGATTGCCTAAAGGCTGGAGGAGCAAGCACTCTTCGCCACGCTCTTCAATCAACCAACAGAGGTCGAAATCACCCGTCACGCCGACACCGGCCCCGAGTAAGTAGGGAGGCATCCAGAGTCACAGAGGCATGATAGCTGACACACTTGCAGAGGCTTTGGGCCTGACATTGTCAAAGACCACTGGGAATCTGGAAGATTCACTTCACGTTGGAAGACTACGGCCGAAGTCTTCCCAATCACAATCAACTAATAGAATATCTTTGCGCCCGTCCCTCAACCTACTCTCTCCAACAGCGGAAGAAAGTCTAGCAGATGATCGAGACCTCAGAGAGAGAGAAACAGGACCGGACGCAAAAGCTGTTCCAACACGTACGCGGACGCTAGGAATAGATCGATCAATCAACTCCGAGAACAACATAAAGCCAAGCGCCACCAAATTCCATGCAGCTGCTGTAGAGGACCTGGCCGGTTCAATGGGTGATTTTTCAAAGAATCAGAGCTCGGTTGACACGGCCCAAAAATTGGACAGAAATCGCGGACAGCGTTCAATAGGTAGTCCCCGTGTATCGGACGAAGTGGTAGTCGAAAGAGACTCGACGAAGGCGCCTCCAAAACGACTGCCATACGCAATTTCCGAGAAAGGCATCTGGCCTGTACAAAGAAATATACTCAACCCAGGAAATGATTCCCTAAGACAGTCGGGGGACTGTAAGCCAAAGACAAGTGGGATGGTCTCTTCGGCACTTCGTCGATTTGTCGGAAGTAATCCCAGTCAGAACTCAAGTTCCGGAAGCCCGACATGTAGAACTCCAAAGAAAAGGCATGCATCGCCCGATGCTGTAAGCCCGTGTACGCCCACCCCGCCCAAGAAAGACCCCATCACAGCAAAGACGCCAGAACCTGTGTCGTATCTGATGTCCGAAGGCTGTCATATAGACAGAGGCGCAACTTGTATCGGGAAAACCCTTGACAATTCAATCTCGGCCAAAGCGAACCACAATGGCAACAGCTTTGAGTGTAACCGCCTGGGTTGCACGAGGCCAGGCGAGAACGTCCCGAGATCGAACTCGCCTTCTCGGACTCCGCGTCAGAGCACAGAGTCAAATGCTACAAACGAAAGCAATGGATCTATTCAGGTCACCCCAAAGAAGTTTATGACCAAAAGCGTTTCACAGATACAGCCTCAACTCACCGCCGCGGTCTCGCCAGAAGCATTATAGGAAAAGCTGCCTTTGGACGATCTGATCGACGACAATCCCCCTTCGACCGACACCAGAGACCTAAAGGACCATGCAATTAAACTTGGTCCCCAGCAAACCGCTGTAAGCGGTGGCATCTTTCAGGGTCAATCAAAGTCCCAGCAAATGCCAATGTCGCCTCAGTCGACCCTCTCAAGGCCGCAGAGCGTAGCATCCATGGCAGAGGAAATCGCGGAACGCTCGAGTGCATCAAGTTTGAGACCTATCGTAACGCCAGCTCGTCGGCCTGGTGGGAGCTATGGTAGCTTGACACCATCACATGGATCTTTCTCAAAACCAGTCGGAGTGCGAGCCATGGCGGCCATGTTTGAACATGCGTCCCAGGAGTCGCCTTATGTGTCTTTCCCTACGACACCTCGCCCTTCTCGGGCGAGTGTGACGGATTTGGGTCTGTTCCAGTCAAGGCAAGAAACCGCGTCGCTCGAAACGCCAAAAACAAAAGTATTGAACGTGAATCCTGAAAGGGAGGACCCGCATCCAGACTATGGGCTTGTGGATGAACGGGGTCGACCATCAAGTCATGAACCACGGTCTATCACTGACAGCACTGGGTCGTTGACTACTACTGAGGCAACCAATGCTCGCGGAGGTGCTGTTCATCTCGAAAAGCCATCTCTTGCACATCTTCGTCGAACACCAGATCCCTCGAGGTACAGAGAGTCTCCTTCAAAGGCATATACTTTGGACAATGACAAGAATTTACCTCATCTTGGGACCATGACAAGTCCCTCTCAGAAGCCGCCTATCGCACAGCATGTAACATTTCCCCGTCCCTCATCCAAACTATCAGTGCGCCAACTAAACGAGGATACCGTTCCGGTACGAGGAGGGAGCCCGGGCAACAATTCCATGCTTTATGCACAGATCCGAAGTCTTCAAAGGCAGCTGGATGTCAAGAATGAGGAAAATGCATCTCTTCGGCGTCAACTTGAAACAAGAGATAACCTAGACATTGGAACACTCAGTGAGCAGCTGCGAGTATCAAAACGAGAGTGTGTCATGTGGAAATCTCGTGCAGAAACGGCGGAAAAACGAGTCTCGGTTCTCGAACACTTCAGACGCAAACTGAAGGGTATCAAGGGAGGGGATGCGCAGAACGATACTGACATTACGTCGCAAAGCGGAAGAGGCAGCATCGAGACATTGGCGACAGAGGATGGAGAAGTTGTGGCGGAGAGAATCAGGAGGGCTATGAGAGGGATGGACGGAACCAGGAGCAGTGATGGCGGGGCTGCAGCCTGGTGGGACGACGACAGGCACAGTAGCAACACGAGGCACTCGGGAAATATGGGTGGACAACATCAATCGAAATTGACTGAGGAAGCATTGTTTCAGATTTGGCAGGCGGCACAGGAGCTGCTATTGGAGGATGAAGACTGAGTACTGGCACGGGAGGCTCATAGGCCGGCTGTGTCAGGATATGGGCGTTGGGAAGCCCGAAGCATACATTGGGGCTTGATTATAGACATTGGGGTTGTCTGTATATCGGTATGGTCTTACATGTCCTACACTGACGAGCCGACACGAAGTTACAATAGAGGTGTTATCATGAAGTCGTGGAATTTATGTTCTGCAAAGAAGGCTACCTGTCAGACCCATTCCTGGCTACGCATTACCCGTCAAGCCCGAAAGTAGCATGATGGGATACTAATCACTCTCCTCGCCCAGGTCACGGAGAATCCTCCACCGCCCTGCATCATCCATGCGCATAGCGACGGAGCCGACCGTCAGACGTCCGATACCATCTAAGATGGCGCCCAAGAGCTCCGAGTCGTCGTCGACAACCTCCTTGACGTCCACTTGCGGCCCCCCTGGTTTCGACCTCTGCCGATGAAGCTTGCGCTCTTCAACCTCTCGTCCTTCTCTGGCTTTGACGATCCTACTGGGGCTCTCGGAGGAAGCCTTGATCTGTGGATGCTTCGAGGTGGAGGTAGATTCGGGCGTAGACGAGGCAAAGTTTCGTCGTGCAGGTATGTCTGGTAATGGTGGTGTTGGGGGTGTTGGAGGAGTTGGAGGACAAGCTGCTGCGCGAGAAGGGCGGTACGGAACACTTGTCCTCTTGTTCTGGTTCACGGTTGAAGATTGTCGGTAGTCTCGATCAAGTTGGCGGGGTTGCTGAGATGCCTGGATGGTGGAGGCATGACGCTTCTGGATCTGAGGTGACGGGGGATGAGTGAACGGAATAGGAGTAGTTGATCGGTGCTGCGTCAGGTCGGGGGAAGGCGGGGTTGGCGTTGGCGGGATATATCGGGGTTGTCGACGTTGGCTGGGAGGTGGTGTTTGCTGCTGCTGCTGCTGCTGCTGCTGTCTCTGATAATCGTGCTGGTGATGGTGCTGTTGATGTTGGTGCAGCTGGTAGGAGTTCGCCGTGGTGGTCGTGTTCGTTGTCATCGCCGGCCAGGTCACGGGAGCCCGGGGCGGAATGCGCGCGGGTTGGCTGGGTGCGGGGATGGTAACTTGGTTGCGCCCGTATACGCGCCCGGACGGCTGGTGCCGTCAATTGTCAAAGACGAAGATGGGCTTGTAGTGATGGGTTGCTTCTACTACGGCCGCTGCGAGCTGATAATCTGGAGGTTTGTCAGCGGTATGCCTGGTGGGAGGTTTCCATCATGAAAGGTGCTGCAAGGGGGTTGCGAGAGATGTTGAGAGCATGAAGCACGTTCTTGAACATGACATGGGAATGGAGTTTTGAGTAGAATAGCCCTATGATGTGCCAGGGGTACAAGTGCCAGAAATGATGTGTTAAGTCCCCAGAACAGGATGTCGTTTGAACTGACGGGACAGGGGATTTCTAGGCAGATGGGAAATGAGTAGTACTCACCAACACCGGGTCCCAGATCGCGGGAGGTAAGCACTTTGATGGACAGATCCGGGTTGACCTTGCCGATGATCTGAGCACCGTTACCGTTGGTGAGGTGGACATCCTGTCAAGGGTTAGCATCCATTTACCGATATATTAAAGTCGATCGATGCAAAGCCATATTGCCTCGACAGAGTTCTTGGTAGAAGACCTACGCGATTGAGAATAGCAGTGACGTTTCCGTCCGCATCCAGAACAGCAGAGTCACCACGCAGCTGCAAGACCTTGCCAATGAGCATGACGTTGCGGCCGACGTAGTTGTCAAGGTACTGCGCTGTGATGCGCGGGGTGGAGGTCGCTTCGGCCATGGCTTGATTGTTGGTGTTCTCGGTCCAAAGTCTGGTTATGCAAGGATCTTTGATGAGAGAAATAGACCCAAAGTATATCTGTCTGACAGCAAGGCAGCAATTGCACTGTTTGAGTTGGATGCGGTTCGTCTTATGCGGAACGGTTGGTCGAGATCTAGAGGACGGAATTTGGCCTTGATTGAGGGGCAGACGCGCCGCGGCAAGACACCCTCGCCCGGCACTTGTCGCGGTGTCAGGTGACCTATCAGGTGGTCTGTGATGACACACCTTACCCAATCCGGACCATGGAGATCTGCGGTGGTCCCTGAACCGTTCTTAGAGATCGTCAAAAACGTTATATTAACGGAATCCTATCCTCGCAACCGTCACAATTATTATCTACCCATCACAGGGGAGATGGAAGAATCACTTCCTTGGCGAACTATGACGTGGCCCCGGGACAATTGACTTTTGACCGCCTGAAATGCTCGCGGTGTCTATGCCCAATCGGACATTTCACTGTTGGTTTGAAAGACTGTATCGAGTCCACCCACCAGACCGAAGCATGGTGAGCGAGTCACCAAAGTGGTGCCCTGTGGATCTCATCCTACCACACAAGACTTTTCTCAGGATGGTTTCCTTGCATCCCTATGATGTCATTCGAGTCCCATTGCTTGTTTCTTTTCCCTGAAAGAGTTTGCAGGGCTCCGGCCGATCATTAAGCATCTCGTGATGGAGAAGCGCACCGTGTTGATGGCTGACGGTGGACCAACCCACCTGGTGGTTCCTACTGTGCCTCCCTATAACTCACCTTACCTCTAGAGCAAGACGGAACCATTTGACGACTTTGTCGTGCAGTACATCGTTTCTTTGAAGGAAGTCAACTTTAGAACGTTGGCCTTGATGTTATCGATCTCGTTTTATGCCTGGTCCATCGTTGCTCGGCATGTTTCAATGTCGCCCTCTGACGACATTGCTCGTTTATATTGACTTTCTGGACGCATGAAGGGTCCTCTGGTGCAACCATCCAATCAAACTACGTCTTTACGCAAAATGACAACGGCTTTCCGTCGCTCAACATGTTATATCTAAGCCCCTAACACGTGTCGAGGTTCATCGTGGGTTGAGGCGTCAATCTCTTTCCATTTTGGGGGCTACCGGTCTCGGCGGTGCATAGCGAACTGGGAAAAACTTGGAATTCTGACAGCGGCAGGCAATCAATCGAAAGGCGACGACTCGTCCAGGACCGAACCAAGACGGGACATGAGTCGGCGATGGAGACGCCGTAATCACTCCACTCTGACATTGGCGGTGGACGAAATGAGTAACAAACTTTCCGTGTTGTTTACCATTCTGTGACCCAATATTGGCACATAATGCATTTGTCGAGACAATGCGGCATCAGGTTGAACTGCGTTGACAACATCACCTGTCGTTCCTCGGGTCTTTGTATCTGGCAGACAGCGGCTGATAGAAAAAAGGTTGAGTTGGGTGGGTGGCAATGACAACAAGACGAATTCAGGGTCCTTTGGCGGCAGCACATAGCTGCAGGGAGTGGCCAGTGAGGCCAAGGCCCCTGACCGGGGTTGGGCAGATGATCTCGGTTGAAAACAGGGCATTTCTGTAAAGTTTGGCCTACTGTGTAGTGTATCCGTTCGGGGACACGAGCCGCTGGTCTCTTCACGCGCGCAACATCCCAACGACCTCAATAATGGTTTGTCCAAGGTTCGTTGGCCTGTAAGAAGGTGGTTTGGGGATATTCCCTGGCCGCTCTTCTTTCCATTTTGGGTGGATGGTGGCATCTCCCAAAATTATTGAATTTCTGGTCAAAGCCTCAAAGGGAGAAGTCTCCGCCGGCAGCGGCAGCAGGAGATAGGCGGACATGACGGGAATAGCGAGTGACATCAGGCTTGGAGTTGCCGTTTTTTCTCGGGCCGTGAAAGTGCAGTCGCGGATCGCAGCACGGCTACCCGGGCCAGGTTGTCAGGATGTTCACTGGGATCCATTGCGACATGAATCGCTGGCGCAGAATCGGCGATCTAGCATCGTGATATCTGGCGTTGACAGCCCAGATCGGTCGATATAGGTCTGGAAGACATCGTGAGCTTGGGGCGTTCTGTTCAAAGTGGACGTGACTTTTTGGTCTCAACGCATCTCTTACTCACCACGCTCATGTAGTATGTAATGTGTGCAGCTGGGGCCCTGCCGGGTATGCCGGTCGCTCCTTGGAGAAATGGGGGTTTCCCAAATTGAGATAAAGACGGGGCAAGTTGAGACGGAAAGAAGACAAGACCAAACACCGCAAAGACAGCAGAGGCAAATGTATTCGTAGTTGATAGTTTCCAAGAGGGGGACCACCGCGGGTGCTTAGCTGGCTCCCTCATTATCCTCGTTGTCAAGATGCAGGTTGATGTGGGTGGACGAGAAGCGCAGTTGGGTTTCCGTCGTCTACAGTCAGGTATCCCTACAGCGTAAGTGGTAAGGTAGGAAGGAGCACACAGTGCTGTGTCCAAGGTGGGCGAGTTCAGAGCTGTTTTCTGTTCACGGTGGTTTGGCGTAACCGTTTTGGGCGACACTCGACACTGAAGTTACTGAACACCCTGAGGTGGATGAGGTGGGCTGCCCCTCACTTTCTCCACTCAAGGTACTAAGCGTTCCCGAGCTTTGCCCCTGCACCTACCAGCCATGGGCCATGGCACGCCGCACTCGACAGTAGGACCTGGAAGGATTGAAGCAAGCAGGGCCCTGGGCAGGCAGGAAGCTGGCAACGGCGGGGCCGCGACGATTAGGTGGCATTGGATGGTGGAAGGAAAGCACAACCCGGCGCCCGGACCTTCCACCGTCAGCACTTTCCATTGGTTCCCGGGCAGCATCAATGTCACATCCCATCTGTCTTGACGGTGGTGGTGGTGGTGATGCACTGCTTTGCTGCTGCTATGTACTGCTGTTGCTGCTGTTCGCAGACTTTTACACCCACTCCTCGCTGTTCCAAGTCACTCTCTGGTCTGTGCCCTCTCCCTCACCGGCCGTGGTCCCTGGCAGACTCTAAGGTTGGATTCCATGGCTTCTCGGGAGTATTGTTACGGGCCAAATCTCGTCTGGAATGCGTCGCTGAATGTGCCTCTTCTGAGGTTGCTAACTGCGACTAGCTCGAACCTAGGCACTGACGCACCGTTCGATGTGTCCCCCCCTCATCCCCCGGTCGTCCGCGTCGGTATTCCCTTGGTAAGCAACGGCTCAAGGGGCTATGAAGGCAGTTCGGCGCCGTGGGCCCATCTCGGTCGCCGGTGTGTCGTACAGAAGGGGAAGAAGAAAGAAGCGTCAGGAAGTGTAGGGATCTTGAGGACTGAAATGTAATGACAAACGGCCACCGGCGACAGTATTGAAGCGTCAGGTGCCTTCAATTATCATTATCATTCTCCGGAGTATTTCATCCGAAAGAACAGGGACTTGGTCGCAGCTTTCCAACTTCTGCCAACAATTAGCCCCCAAGGCAACGGCCCCATGGCGAACCCAGGAAGGACAAGGTCGGAGGGGGGGAAGGAAGAGACGGCAGGGTAAGGTAGGTACCTGGTGACTTTGATAGAGGTGTAGCGTGCCTGTCCTCTCATCAGTCTCCCGTCTGGCATCCAATGGGTGTAAACCCACCTTACACAGCAGAGTGGTCGGATCGGGTGTGTGTGTGTGTGTGTGTATGTGTGTCTGTGTCTGTGTGTGAAGACAAAGTGTTGGATGAAGCTTAGACGGGAGTCGGGAGGTCTGATTGCCTTGGCTCGTCCAGCAGTATCTGCGATAATTATGAACATCCAATTCTGCTACACTACACAGCTATGGCACCGTCTGAGAGGCAAATTGTGCTTAGCGTAAAAGCTATACTGTCTAGGTACCTTACTTACTTACCCCGCCATTTTGTGTCGCGCAGCCAAGGTAAGCTGAGGTGAATTCTTGTATGGTGCACCGTACGTACCTAAGGCAAGGGAGGTTGACGAGTGAGGACGCCCAGCTAATTACATAGGTATTCAAATGGCCGCAATGGTGGTGCTGGAAGTTTGGAACCGGTGCTGATATTGGCGCTGCATGTGTACATCCACCACCCCATCGACTGCGTGTCTGCCTCTGACAGATAAGGTGCCTGTGTGTTAGCTGTTTGGTTTGACCTCATCCAATAAGGTATGATTGCTTCTGCCGAGGGAGCAACACTTCAGTCTAGCTACCTTAAGCTGAGGTAGTAGATGCACTATCTCGCCTGACTGCTTTCCTGGGCCTTCTACCTACCTGCCTTACTCTCTTTAAGCTAACTTAAAGTAAGGTAGCGTGAGGTAATTGGAGCCTGAGCTAAGGGCATTTGTTAGGGGAAATGCTGTTGAGGAGAGCAGAAACGTGGTATTCGAGGCAATGCAATTGTCGAAGCTCCTTCCCGCCTGCCCATCTTATGTGTGGTATGCGGTACTCCGTACCTTATGCCTTTGAAATTCCCACCCCCATTTCTGTTCGTCGCTTTCTACCGACGACGACCTCCCATCCCCGTCTCTCATCCCCCCTCTTCCCATCCTGCACACTGTTTGTTCCTGGGCAAAAGCTCCTACCTGCCCACATCGAGCCTCTTTTATCCCACATCCATTGTTAATTCCGCTCCATCTGGATTCCACCGCTGCTCCTCTCTGTCACAGCTTGCTAGCTTTGAGCGTCATTCTGATCGATTGCCGGAGCCTACTCCGCTGCTGTTCTCCTCAGCCAATTTGTCCTCGATCCTCAACACGGCTCCGAGCATCACCGTCCCTCTCTCCTCTTCGACAACCTGGGAGATCTCGTCCGGCTCTGCTTCCGTCGTCTTTTGCTTGGCAACCTCCGACCCATCCCTGCTCTCCCGCCAACATCTTCCTTGTGTGACCGCGACTGCGACGGCCCCATCAGACTGCAAGCATTACCAGCCCAGTGCCCACACCACCACCACCTGAGCATCCTTGTCTGGCTGATGGCAAGACGTTACCGCGCTCTCACCACGCTGCAACCGGCACAAC